CCCCGAGGTGGCGGCGGGGAAGACGGCCGGGCCGCAGGCACTCGTGGCGGGAAGGGCACCATCGGCAGCAACACCGGTGGCTTGAGGGGGAACCATCGGCAGTCATGTGTTCCCGGCGACGCCGGGCGTCTGGACGGCCGGGGTGCAGGCACTCGCGGCTACGGCGGTACCATCGGTAGCAGCACCGTCGGCGAGAGTGGTGACCCCCGGCGGCAGGTTTTTCCCCGAGCTGACGGCGGGGAAGACGGCCGGGCCGCAGGCGTTTGTGGCGGGAACGGCACAATCGGAAGCAGCACCGGCGGCGAGAGTGGTGACCACCGGCAGTCATGTGTTCCCCGCGACGCCGGGGACGGCCGGGGTGCAGGCACTCGCGGCTACAGCGGTACCATCGGTAGCAGCACCGTCGGCGAGAGTGGTGGCCCGCGGCGGCAAGGTTTTCCCCTGGAGGTGGTGGGGGAAACGACCGGACCGAAAGTACTCGTGGCGGGTACGGCAGCATCGGCAGCGGCACCTGTGGTGAGAGGGGGGACCACCGGCAGTCATGTGGTCCCGGCGACGCCGGCCGTCGGGACGGCCTGGGTGCAGGCAATCGGGGCTAGAGCGGTACCATACGCCCGGGCCGCAGGCGCTCGTGGCGGGACTGGCAGCATCGGCAGCAACACCCGCGGCGAGAGTGAGACCACCGGCAGTCATGTGGTCTCGGCGATGCCGGCCGTCGCGACGGCCGGGGTGCAGGCGCTCGCGGCTAGAGCGGTACCATCGGTAGCAGCACCGGCGGCGAGAGTGGTGGTCCGCGACGTCAAGGTTTTTCCCTGGCGGTGGCGGGGGAAACAACCGGGCCGCAAGCACTCGTGGCGGGAGCGGCAGCATCGGCAGCAGCACCTGTGGTGAGAGTGGTGACCACCGGCAGTCATGTGTTCCCGGCGACGCCGGGCGTCTGGACGGCCGGGGTGCAGGCACTCGCGGCTACAGCGGTACCATCGGTAGCAGCACCGGCGGCGATAGTGGTGGCCCGCGGCGGCAAGGTTTTCCCCTGGAGGTGGTGGGGGAAACGACCGGACCGAAAGTACTCGTGGCGGGTACGGCAACATCGGCAGCGGCACCTGTGGTGAGAGGGGGGACCACCGGCAGTCATGTGGTCCCGGCGACGCCGGCCGTCGGGACGGCCTGGGTGCAGGCAATCGGGGCTAGAGCGGTACCATACGCCCGGGCCGCAGGCGCTCGTGGCGGGACTGGCAGCATCGGCAGCAACACCCGCGGCGAGAGTGAGACCACCGGCAGTCATGTGGTCTCGGCGATGCCGGCCGTCGCGACGGCCGGGGTGCAGGCGCTCGCGGCTAGAGCGGTACCATCGGTAGCAGCACCGGCGGCGAGAGTGGTGGCCCGCGGCGGCAAGGTTTTTCCCTGGCGGTGGTGGGGGAAACGACCGGGCCGCAAGCACTCGTGGCAGGAGCGGCAGCATCGGCAGCAGCACCTGTGGTGAGAGAAGGGACCACCGGCAGTCATTTGTTCCCGGCAACGCCGGGCGTCTGGACGGCCGGGGTGCAGGCAATCGGGGCTACAGCGGTACCATCGGTAGCAGCACCGTCGGCGAGAGTGGTGACCCCCGGCGGCAGGTTTTTCCCCGAGCTGACGGCGGGGAAGACGGCCGGGCCGCAGGCACTTGTGGCGGGAACGGCACAATCGGCAGCAACACCGGCGGCGAGAGTGGTGACCACCGGCAGTCATGTGTTCCCCGCGACGCCGGGGACGGCCGGGGTGCAGGCACTCGCGGCTACAGCGGTACCATCGGTAGCAGCACCGTCGGCGAGAGTGGTGGCCCGCGGCGGCAAGGTTTTTCCCTGGCGGTGGTGGGGGAAACGACCGGGCCGCAGGCACTCGTGGCGGGAACGGCAGCATCGGAAGCAACACCGGCGGCGTGAGGGGGAACCAGCGGCAGTCATGTGTTCCCGGCGACGCCGGGCGTCTGGACGGCCGGGGTGCAGGCACTCGCGGCTACGGTGATACCATCGGTAGCAGCACCGTCGGCGAGAGTGGTGACCCCCGGCGGCAGGTTTTTCCCCGAGCTGACGGCGGGGAAGACGGCCGGGCCGCAGGCACTTGTGGCGGGAACGGCACAATCGGCAGCAACACCGGCGGCGAGAGTGGTGACCACCGGCAGTCATGTGTTCCCCGCGACGCCGGGGACGGCCGGGGTGCAGGCACTCGCGGCTAGAGCGGTACCATCGGTAGCAGCACCGGCGGCGAGAGTGGTGGCCCGCGGCGGCAAGGTTTTTCCCTGGCGGTGGTGGGGGAAACAACCGGGCCGCAAGCACTCGTGGCGGTAACGGCAGCATCGGCAGCAACACCCTCGGCGAGAGTGAGACCACCGGCAGTCATGTGGTCTCGGCGATGCCGGCCGTCGCGACGGCCGGGGTGCAGGCGCTCGCGGCTAGAGCGGTACCATCGGTAGCAGCACCGGCGGCGAGAGTGGTGGCCCGCGGCGGCAAGGTTTTTCCCTGGCGGTGGTGGGGGAAACGACCGGGCCGCAAGCACTCGTGGCAGGAGCGGCAGCATCGGCAGCAGCACCTGTGGTGAGAGAAGGGACCACCGGCAGTCATTTGTTCCCGGCAACGCCGGGCGTCTGGACGGCCGGGGTGCAGGCAATCGGGGCTACAGCGGTACCATCGGTAGCAGCACCGTCGGCGAGAGTGGTGACCCCCGGCGGCAGGTTTTTCCCCGAGGTGACGGCGGGGAAGACGGCCGGGCCGCAGAGACTTGTGGCGGGAACGGCACAATCGGCAGCAACACCGGCGGCGAGAGTGGTGACCACCGGCAGTCATGTGTTCCCCGCGACGCCGGGGACGGCCGGGGTGCAGGCACTCGCGGCTACAGCGGTACCATCGGTAGCAGCACCGTCGGCGAGAGTGGTGGCCCGCGGCGGCAAGGTTTTCCCCTGGCGGTGGTGGGGGAAACGACCGGACCGAAAGTACTCGTGGCGGGTACGGCAACATCGGCAGCGGCACCTGTGGTGAGAGGGGGGACCACCGGCAGTCATGTGGTCCCGGCGACGCCGGCCGTCGGGACGGCCTGGGTGCAGGCAATCGGGGCTAGAGCGGTACCATACGCCCGGGCCGCAGGCGCTCGTGGCGGGACTGGCAGCATCGGCAGCAACACCCGCGGCGAGAGTGAGACCACCGGCAGTCATGTGGTCTCGGCGATGCCGGCCGTCGCGACGGCCGGGGTGCAGGCGCTCGCGGCTAGAGCGGTACCATCGGTAGCAGCACCGGCGGCGAGAGTGGTGGCCCGCGGCGGCAAGGTTTTTCCCTGGCGGTGGTGGGGGAAACGACCGGGCCGCAAGCACTCGTGGCAGGAGCGGCAGCATCGGCAGCAGCACCTGTGGTGAGAGAAGGGACCACCGGCAGTCATTTGTTCCCGGCAACGCCGGGCGTCTGGACGGCCGGGGTGCAGGCAATCGGGGCTGGAGAGGTACCATCGGTAGCAGCACCGTCGGCGAGAGTGGTGACCCCCGGCGGCAGGTTTTTCCCCGAGGTGGCGGCGGGGAAGACGGCCGGGCCGCAGGCACTTGTGGCGGGAACGGCACAATCGGCAGCAACACCGGCGGCGAGAGTGGTGACCACCGGCAGTCATGTGTTCCCCGCGACGCCGGGGACGGCCGGGGTGCAGGCACTCGCGGCTACAGCGGTACCATCGGTAGCAGCACCGTCGGCGAGAGTGGTGGCCCGCGGCGGCAAGGTTTTCCCCTGGAGGTGGTGGGGGAAACGACCGGACCGAAAGTACTCGTGGCGGGTACGGCAACATCGGCAGCGGCACCTGTGGTGAGAGGGGGGACCACCGGCAGTCATGTGGTCCCGGCGACGCCGGCCGTCGGGACGGCCTGGGTGCAGGCAATCGGGGCTAGAGCGGTACCATACGCCCGGGCCGCAGGCGCTCGTGGCGGGACTGGCAGCATCGGCAGCAACACCCGCGGCGAGAGTGAGACCACCGGCAGTCATGTGGTCTCGGCGATGCCGGCCGTCGCGACGGCCGGGGTGCAGGCGCTCGCGGCTAGAGCGGTACCATCGGTAGCAGCACCGGCGGCGAGAGTGGTGGCCCGCGGCGGCAAGGTTTTTCCCTGGCGGTGGTGGGGGAAACGACCGGGCCGCAAGCACTCGTGGCAGGAGCGGCAGCATCGGCAGCAGCACCTGTGGTGAGAGAAGGGACCACCGGCAGTCATTTGTTCCCGGCAACGCCGGGCGTCTGGACGGCCGGGGTGCAGGCAATCGGGGCTGGAGAGGTACCATCGGTAGCAGCACCGTCGGCGAGAGTGGTGACCCCCGGCGGCAGGTTTTTCCCCGAGGTGGCGGCGGGGAAGACGGCCGGGCCGCAGGCACTTGTGGCGGGAACGGCACAATCGGCAGCAACACCGGCGGCGAGAGTGGTGACCACCGGCAGTCATGTGTTCCCCGCGACGCCGGGGACGGCCGGGGTGCAGGCACTCGCGGCTACAGCGGTACCATCGGTAGCAGCACCGGCGGCGAGAGTGGTGGCCCGCGGCGGCAAGGTTTTTCCTTGGCGGTGGTGGGGGAAACGACCGGGCCGCAAGTATTGGTGGCAGGAGCGGCAACATCGGCAGCGGCACCTGTGGTGAGAGAAGGGACCACCGGCAGTCATTTGTTCCCGGCAACGCCGGGCGTCTGGACGGCCGGGGTGCAGGCAATCGGGGCTGGAGAGGTACCATCGGTAGCAGCACCGTCGGCGAGAGTGGTGACCCCCGGCGGCAGGTTTTTCCCCGAGGTGGTGGCGGGGAAGACGGCCGGGCCGCAGAGACTTGTGGCGGGAACGGCACCATNTGCTAGAGCGGTACCGTACGCCCGGGCCACAGGCGCTCGTGGCGGGAACGGCAGCGTCGGCAGCATTTCCCTCGGCGAGAGGGGGGACCGCCGGCATTCATGTGTTCCACGCGACGCCGGGCGTCTGGACGGCCGGGGTGCAGGCACTCGCGGCTACAGCGGTACCATCGGTAGCAGTACCGTCGGTGAGAGTGGTTGCCCGCGGCGACAAGGTTTTCCCCTGGCGGTGGCGGGGAAGACGGCCGGGCCGCAAGCACTCGTGGCGGGAACGGCAGCATCGGCAGCAACACCGGCGGCGTGAGGGGGAACCATCGGCAGTCATGTGTTCCCGGCGACGCCGGGCGTCTGGACGGCCGGGGTGCAGGCACTCGCGGCTACAGCGGTACCATCGGTAGCAGTACCGTCGGTGAGAGTGGTTGCCCGCGGCGACAAGGTTTTCCCCTGGCGGTGGCGGGGAAGACGGCCGGGCCGCAAGCACTCGTGGCGGGAACGGCAGCATCGGCAGCAACACCGGCGGCGTGAGGGGGAACCATCGGCAGTCATGTGTTCCCAGCGACGCCGGGCGTCGCGACGGCCGGGTTGCAGGCAATCGCGGCTACGGCGGTACCATCGGTAGCAGCACCGGCGGCGAGAGTGGTGGTCCGCGGCGTCAAGGTTTTTCCCTGGCGGTGGCGGGGGAAACAACCAGGCCGCAAGCACTCGTGGCGGGAGCGGCAGCATCGGCAGCAGCACCTGTGGTGAAGGGGGGGACCACCGGCAGTCATTTGTTCCCGGCGACGCCGGGCGTCTGGACGGCCAGGGTGCAGGCAATCGGGGCTACAGCGGGACCATCGGTAGCAGTACCGTCGGTGAGAGTGGTTGCCCGCGGCGGCAGGTTTTTCCCCGACCTGACGGCGGGGAAGACGGCCGGGCCGCAGGCACTTGTGGCGGGAAGGGCACAATCGCCAGCAACACCGGCGGCGTAAGGGGGAACCATCGGCAGTCATGTGTTCCCGGCGACGCCGGGCGTCGCGACGGCCGGGGTGCAGGCAATCGGGGCTAGAGCGGTACCATCGGTAGCAGCACCGTCGGTGAGAGTGGTGGCCCGCGGCGGCAGGTTTTTCCGCGAGCTGACGGCGGGGAAGACGGCCGGGCCGCAGGCACTCGTGGCGGGAACGGCACCATCGGCAGCAACACCGGCGGCGAGGGTGGTGACCACCGGCAGTCATGTGTGCCCCGCGACGCCGGGGACGGCCGGAGTGCAGGCAATCGGGGCTAGAGCGGTACCATCGGTAGCAGCACCGTCGGTGAGAGTGGTGGCCCGCGGCGGCAGGTTTTTCCTCGAGCTGACGGCGGGGAAGACGGCCGGGCCGCAGGCACTCGTGGCGGGAACGGCACCATCGGCAGCAACACCGGCGGCGAGGGTGGTGACCACCGGCAGTCATGTGTGCCCCGCGACGCCGGGGACGGCCGGAGTGCAGGCAATCGGGGCTAGAGCGGTACCATCGGTAGCAGCACCGTCGGTGAGAGTGGTGGCCCGCGGCGGCAGGTTTTTCCTCGAGCTGACGGCGGGGAAGACGGCCGGGCCGCAGGCACTCTTGGCGGGAACGGCACCATCGGCAGCAACACCGGCGGCGAGATTGGTGACCACCGGCAGTCATGTGTTCCACGCGACGCCGGGGACGGCCGGGGTGCAGGCACTCGGGGCTGGAGCGGTACCATCGGTAGCAGCACCGGCGGCGAGAGCGGTGGTCCGCGACGTCAAGGTTTTTCCCTGGCAGTGGCGGGGGAAACAACCGGGCCGCAAGCACTCGTGGCGGTAGCGGCAGCATCGGCAGCAGCACCTGTGGTGAGAGGGGGGACCACCGGTATTCATGTGTTCCCGGCGACGCCGGGCGTCTGGACGGCCGGGGTGCAGGCAATCGGGTCTGGAGAGGTACCATCGGTAGCAGCACCGTCGGCGAGAGTGGTGACCCCCGGCGGCAGGTTTTTCCCCGAGCTGACGGCGGGGAAGACGGCCGGGCCGCAAGCACTTGTGGCGGGAACGGCACCATCGGCAGCAACACCGGCGGCGAGAGGGGGAACCATCGGCAGTCATGTGTTCCCGGCGACGCCGGGCGTCTGGACGGCCGGGGTGCAGGCACTCGCGGCTACAGCGGTACCATCGGTAGCAGCACCGTCGGCGATAGTGGTGGCCCGCGGCGGCAAGGTTGTCCCCCGGCGGTGGCGGGGAAGACGGCCGGGCCGCAGGCACTCGTGGCGGGAACGGCACCATCGGCAGCAACACCGGCGGCTTGAGGGGGAACCATCGGCAGTCATGTGTTCCCGGCGACGCCGGGCGTCTGGACGGCCGGGGTGCAGGCACTCGCGGCTACAGCGGTACCATCGGTAGCAGCACCGGCGGCGAGAGTGGTGGCCCGCGGCGGCAAGGTTTTTCCCTGGCGGTGGTGGGGGAAACGACCGGGCCGCAAGCACTCGTGGCAGGAGCGGCAGCATCGGCAGCAGCACCTGTGGTGAGAGAAGGGACCACCGGCAGTCATTTGTTCCCGGCAACGCCGGGCGTCTGGACGGCCGGGGTGCAGGCACTCGCGGCTACAGCGGTACCATCGGTAGCAGCACCGGCGGCGAGAGTGGTGGCCCGCGGCGGCAAGGTTTTTCCCTGGCGGTGGTGGGGGAAACGACCGGGCCGCAAGCACTCGTGGCAGGAGCGGCAGCATCGGCAGCAGCACCTGTGGTGAGAGAAGGGACCACCGGCAGTCATTTGTTCCCGGCAACGCCGGGCGTCTGGACGGCCGGGGTGCAGGCACTCGCGGCTACAGCGGTACCATCGGTAGCAGCACCGGCGGCGAGAGTGGTGGCCCGCGGCGGCAAGGTTTTCCCCTGGCGGTGGTGGGGGAAACGACCGGGCCGCAAGCACTCGTGGCAGGAGCGGCAGCATCGGCAGCAGCACCTGTGGTGAGAGAAGGGACCACCGGCAGTCATTTGTTCCCGGCAACGCCGGGCGTCTGGACGGCCGGGGTGCAGGCACTCGCGGCTACAGCGGTACCATCGGTAGCAGCACCGGCGGCGAGAGTGGTGGCCCGCGGCGGCAAGGTTTTCCCCTGGCGGTGGTGGGGGAAACGACCGGGCCGCAAGCACTCGTGGCAGGAGCGGCAGCATCGGCAGCAGCACCTGTGGTGAGAGAAGGGACCACCGGCAGTCATTTGTTCCCGGCAACGCCGGGCGTCTGGACGGCCGGGGTGCAGGCAATCGGGGCTAGAGAGGTACCATCGGTAGCAGCACCGTCGGCGAGAGTGGTGACCCCCGGCGGCAGGTTTTTCCCCGAGGTGGCGGCGGGGAAGACGGCCGGGCCGCAGGCACTTGTGGCGGGAACGGCACCATCGGCAGCAACACCGGCGGCGAGAGGGGGAACCATCGGCAGTCATATGTTCCCCGCGACGCCGGGCGTCTGGACGGCCGGGGTGCAGGCACTCGCGGCTACAGCGGTACCATCGGTAGCAGCACCGTCGGCGAGAGTGGTGGCCCGCGGCGGCAAGGTTTTCCCCTGGCGGTGGTGGGGGAAACGACCGGGCCGCAAGCACTCGTGGCGGGAGCGGCAGCATCGGCAGCAGCACCTGTGGTGAGAGAAGGGACCACCGGCAGTCATTTGTTCCCGGCAACGCCGGGCGTCTGGACGGCCGGGGTGCAGGCAATCGGGGCTAGAGAGGTACCATCGGTAGCAGCACCGTCGGCGAGAGTGGTGACCCCCGGCGGCAGGTTTTTCCCCGAGGTGGCGGCGGGGAAGACGGCCGGGCCGCAGGCACTTGTGGCGGGAACGGCACAATCGGCAGCAACACCGGCGGCGAGAGTGGTGACCACCGGCAGTCATGTGTTCCCCGCGACGCCGGGGACGGCCGGAGTGCAGGCAATCGGGGCTGGAGAGGTACTATCGGTAGCAACCGCAGTCATGTGTTGCCGGTGACGCCGGCCGTCGTGACGGCCGGGGTGCAGGCAATCGGGGCTAGAGCGGTACCATATGCCGGGGCCGCAGGCGCTCGTGGCGGGAGCGGCAGCATCGGCAGCAGCACCGGTGGCGAGAAGAGGGACCACCGGCAATCATGTGTTGCCGGCGATGCCGGGTGTCGGGACGGCCGGGGTGCAGGCACTCGCGGCTAGAGCGGTAGAACACGGCTGGGCTGCAGGCGCTCGTGGCGGGAGCGGCACCATCACCAGCAGCACCTGTGCCGAGAAGAGGGACCGCCGGCAGGCTTGTGTTCCCCGCGACGCCGGCCGTGGGGACGGTCGGGGTGCAAGCACTCGCGGCTAGATAGGGCGGTACCATCGGTAGAAGCACCGGTGGCGAGAATGGTGACCCCCGGCGGCAGGATTTTCCCCCGGCGGCGGCGGGGTAGACGGCCGGGTGGCAAGCTCTCGTCGCGGGAGCGGCAGCATCGGCAGCAACACCGGCGGCGAGAGGGGGACCACCGGCAGTCATGTGTTCCCGGCGGCGGCGGCGGCCGCCCGGGACGCATGCACTCACGAACGGAGCAGCGGCACTACCGTTGATGGGATCGGCGACGACAGGAGCGGCGGCGATAGGAGAAGTTACCGTAACGGTGGCGACGGAGGGAGGACTGGGCTACCGCACGCCATGAGCCAACCCGGCAGGCGGCGATCCGTCAGCAGCGGTACAAGGTGACGCCTGAGGTCACGCGGTCGGGGTCTCGTCGAACCGATATCGTGGCTGGGTGTCGGCGCGTGTACTTCAATAACACGCTCGTGTAGAGAACGTTTCTGCGCAAAGGAGCTACTCAAGTTCCGCCCGAAAAAGAACATCCCACGACCGGCACCGAGGGGACAATGAATAACATTCTCCCAACCCCCCTGCGTATATGCACTAAACTACTTCTCTTCTGGCGAGGAAATTCTACTACTGCCGAGTGCTTGCTGGTCTACGTACGGTACATACATCTGATTACGCACGAATACAGCCAAGTACTCATAAATGAGATCATCCAGAACGCGCTCTGCTCAATTGTTTGCATGCGAGCGGACCCCAATCTAGCTTTCTTTCCTCTCCCCAAAAAATGAGCGGGACAGGAGATTGACGGGAGGGGAGAGAGGCAGAGGGCGTATAATCTGCGTTTGTTTCCTCCCGTCTGAACATGGAATAGAACTAGCTACTACTGTTGTTGTTCTTGTGGTGAACGAGTGCATGGAGGGGGTAAAACACCTGGCTGTGGGCCGGGCCAGGTGACGGGATGTGGCAATGAAACACCCCCCTCGGTGTTTGCCATCGGGATTGGGTTTCGTCGCTTGGCAACGACGTTGTAAAACAAGCCAATTCACT